TTTTTCTTGTGTGTGATTTTTTTTCTTGCGTGTGATGTTTTTTTCTTGTGTGTTATTTTTTTTCTTGTTTGTGATTTCTTTTTTTTTTGTGTGTGATTTTTTTTTTCTTGTGTGTGATTTTTCTTCTTTCGTGAGAGAATTTTTCGTGTCCTTAATTTTTTCTGCCTTAGTCAGATTTCATGAGTTTGCCAAATTTTGCAATTAAAAAAAGAGCCATGAACTGTGATCGATTTATCTCAAATAATCGATTAATCGACCGGGCTCGATCTGATCGACGCCGGAGTTGACGAAATCCTCGTCTACAGCGTTGCCGCGTATAATTGTTAATTTCATAGAACACGACCAACCATAGTATGGCCGTTCCCGTCGCATGCATGCATGCCAACAGGTCCATTTCTACAGCCCTCCGGCCCCCCAGTCAGGCACGTATACATTTAGCACTCAAAAAGATTCTGAAAATTTTTGAAATTTTAACTCTATTTGGACGCATTTTGGAGCTTCTGTGTCGCAGATTTTGTCGCGTAAAATAATTGTATATGTATACGTGCCTGGGGGGCCGGAGGGCTGTAGAAATGGACCTGTTGGCATGCCTGAATGCGACGGGAACGGCCATACTATGGTTGGCCGTTTTCTATGAAATTAACATATATACGCGGCAACGCTGTAGGTAGACGAGGTATTCGTCAACTCCGGTGTCGATCAGATCGAGCCCGGTCGATTAATCGATTATTTGAGATATATCGATCACAGTTCACGGCTCTTTTTTTATTTGCAAAATTTGGCAAACGCATGAGATCTGACTAAGGCAGAAAAAAGTAAGGACACGAAAAATTCTCTCACGCAAGAAAAAAAGCACAAGAAAAAATAATTACACACAAAAAAAAAATCACAAACAAGAAAAAAAATCTTACACAAGGAAAAAAATTACACACAAGAAAAAAAAATCACACAAGAATAAAACATCACACAAGAAAAAAAAATCACACACGAGAAAAAAAAGTCACACACAAGGAAAAAATTCCCACGCATGGGACAAAAGCCTGCTCGTGAAGGGAAAAAAATCCCACACGGGAAATAATTCTTTCACAGGGACTTTTTTCCTTTTAGGCACGAATGGCCAACCATAAGATATGAAAGGGTTACATGTTTTCAATTATGCTTTAATTTAGTGCTAGACGATGCTTTTATGACAATTGTGTTCAAATTTCAATTAAAAGTATTATATATCACCTCTGAGATGAAAATTAAGGAAATCAGGCAAAATTAGAGCAAATGTTGGGAAGTGATACACTTGACGGTGGAAATTCGGGTTTGAGCCCAACTATTAAGCTCGACGAGCTATTTTTCCTAAATCTACACCTAATGATAGTCAAAATAAAGTTTGGTTTGCCCAAAAAATCACAAAAAAATTTTGGGAGGAAATAGAACCTGGAATTTGACCCTTATTTGAATTCACCCAGGTACCCATCATAGAAATGGTACCCAATTCTAAAGTGATTTATCAAACATTTCTGCGGCATGATGGCAATTTTATTATTTTTTCCTATCCTATTTAGTTATTTTGTAGAAAAACGGCTGGAATACCAGCAAGAGACAAACCCTGGAATTAATTGCCGTCCCGATTTCTTATATCATGTATGTTTATCTGTAAAATCGGGCCGGTCAAGTTCTCTAGTTTATTGCCGTCCAAATGGCACCCTCCCAAGGGTTTTTTTTTGTGGGATAAAAAGTATACAAAAATGTATTGGATGTTAGGCAAAATATCAACATTGTCAAAGAAAAACAAAATTTTACTGTATAATCAAATATTAAAACCTATATGGCATTATGCTTCACAACTATGGGGTTGTGCAAGCAAATCTAATATAAATAAGGTAGAAAGACTCCAGTCGAAGGTTCTACGAGAAATTAAGGTGATTCGATGGACGCCATTTTTTGTGTCAGAACGGCATGCGATGTATCGCATCGATTGGTTCCATTTTTTCAGCTACTCATCATTTTTCTCCAATTTTGAGATCGCAATTCTGTTGTCAGCAGACTAAAGCACTCACTTACCAATTTTAACAAAGAAATTCAACGTAATAAAGGCGTGGTTTTTTAGAGAGAAAACATCGCATTCGATACTGATATCGAAACTGCACTCGAATGCGATATTTTCTCTCTAAAAAAAACCACGCCTTTATTATGTTGAATTTTTTCGTTAAAATTGGTAAGTGAGTGCCTTAGTCTCCTGACAACAGTATTGCGATCTAAAAATTGGAGAAAAATGACGTGTAGCTGAAAAAATGGAACCAATTGATGCGATATATCGCATGCCGTTCTGACACCAAATATGGCGTCCATCGAATCACCTTAATGGAGTATCATGGTTCGTAAGGAACGAAGACATAAGGAGAGAATTGGAGGTACCCACGGTTAGACGTGTAATTGCTGAGGCAACAAAGAGATATGAATGTCGTATTGAAAAACATGTCAATGAAAAGGCTGTAAACCTCTTACAGTACAGTATCAGTGAAAAGATTTAAAAGGTGGGAGATCTTTGAACTCCCATCAAGATTGACTCTGTAAGTAGTCTGTAAGGTATGAATGAGAGTGTGAAAGGAAGAATGTGAAACAATTAAACTAGCTTTATATCCTAATAGCTCTAAAAAAGAAGGCAGAGAGTTTTACAATTCCTGTTTTTTTTTTTTATATAACATAATCAATGTATTATCTAACGTTACCCTGTAAAATTAATGCAATTCGTTTAGTTTTACTTTTAAACCGTGTAGATAGATACAAGGAATTACTTGTTGTAGTCACGTTATACTTAAGTAACATTCTTTCCCCCCAAAAAAAAAATCCCGCCGTAATTTCAGCCGAGGAACCCTCATTCCGACGGCTCTATCTTCAATTTTCTACTTCATCCAGTAGACAAACTATACAGGGTGAGCGAAAAGTCCCCGACCCACCCCCCCCCTCTAACTTTTGAACGCATGCTTGTATCGAAACGAAATTATGGGGATGCTCCTAGATCAATAAGAGCTACTTTTTGACACATCCAAAATTTTGGGGGGGCGCACACTAACTCGAAATTTTCAAATGGTAACCCCCCTCTTGTGATACATCGTTGGAAAGGTAATAAAAAAAGAAACTTTTTGGCGCAAACCGTAGGTCGCTACGACTTTTCGTTCTCGAGTTATTCTCGGTCGAAGTTCAAAATTGGCCAGTTTTCAAAAAATCGTAAGTCCGGTTCAGAAAGGTGCAGAATGGCAAACGAGGCGGCAAAATTTTCGGCATTGCATGTACTTTCAGAAAAAAATCGTCAAAAACCCTATCGTCTGCGCCTAGAGTGATTTAAGCCCCTCCCCCCTCCCGCGATTAACTGCCTTTCTTGCGGGAGGGGCGGCCAGTTCACTCGAGGCGGAATTAGGTACCTTTTTGAAGGTAACTCAGCTACCTGACGGAGCCCAGCCTATTTGGGGGGGAGGGGCGGCACTCCCCTCCTCCCGCCGCCGCAC